GGGGGCGTGGAGGGAGGGATCTCCTGAGGTTGCGATACATGCACTGGATTTCTTTACTACTCAGTGTGGGCTGCCTACCAAGAGCCTTGACACATGCAGGGAGTTTTCAGGGTGGCCCTGAGAACCCACATTTCTAGCAAATGCCCATGCACCGCAATTGAGCACTAAGGATCTAGATCAGAATCACTTCAGGGAGCTTTAAAAAGCTCTAATGCCTGGGCCTCATCTTCATATTCTGATTTAGTTGATCTAGAGTGGAACTGAGGGAATTCATATTTTTTAAAAGCCTCCAAGTGATTCTAAATGTAGCCAAGATTAAGAACCTCTGGTCTAGATAATGATAATAGCTCTTTTGAGCACTAGATGACCCCTCTCCTGTACTTTCCCGAGCAACCCTATAAGGTCGTTATTGTAATAATATCCATTTTATAGAAAAGGAAAGTGCACCTGAGAGAGGTGACATTGACTTGTCAGAGATGACACAGCTGTTAAGCGGTAGAGCCAATGACGTCTGTCTTGTGCCTAATTCTTCTACCTACGAAACCTCAGAATCTTTTCTGATAAGTCCTCTGACCTCAACGACACCTGTCCTCATTCTTTCCCAGATGGATCATCTTGTACCATCTGTCCTTTAAACTCTCAGCGCCTTCTCACAGCTCTCAATGCTTGTAATATTCGGCCTCATAAAACAGTATATTTGCGTTGTCTAGCTTCCTAGACCTTAAACGTTCTATCTTACTTCCATGTACATATTTTGCAGCACCAAGTACAGGGTCTTACATATATTCAGTGTTAATATTTGTTGAATGGTATTGTTCTATGCACAACGAATCTTCCAGAGCATCTATTATGGTACAGATTCTTGTATAATACTGGTGATTCAGCATACTTTCAAAGATCTTTCTGCTACTTAGGGTTCTATTTGACATGCTGTTTTTTCATAGTGGGGCAATAGCAGCAGCAAGCATGCTCACTGAAATAGAATAGTAACTACCTTTCCTGGGTATTATTCAAACACACACTTTTCATGAATTACCTGTTATCATTGCAATGACTCAATAGGAGAGGTATTATCGCTGTCCCATTTTATAGTTCTTTGAAACCAAGGCCAGGTGGTAACTCGTGTCAGCCAGAGAGTGAATAAGTAGAATTGGATTTGGGATGCAAGCAGCCTGTCCCCCAAATCTGATCCTACACCTCCACAGATGGCAGATTGTGGTGAGTCATCACAGTTTTCCCTCTTAGAAATAAGAAAGGGGATCACTACAGTCTGCATCTGTGGGTATGATATTGAGCCATAGATTATAGGTGAAAAGTTATTAAAAGTAAAAAAGAATTAAAATTAAATTTTGGTAATAGCTACCATTCACACTGGTAAACAAACCCTTTACACGGGGGTATTACAAATGACTGCACAGTTTATATTCCATTGGTAGGTGAATAAAAACTGAATATGTTTATAATTTTGTGTCAGTTTCTTTTCATTTGAAGTGATCTTTACTTCTTAAATTTTAATTAAAACATTTTTATATGTTGTTTAAGGTTTTATAAATGTAGCTCAGTTGCACAGAGGCACACATTAAGTGTAGCTTTACAGGAAATGGGGACATCCAAAGTGGAGGTACAAAATGGATCCCCGCCAAGTACTCAGTCCCACACACAAATCCTCACAGTTTTCCCCAGCCTCTTTTGTTGTGGCTCAGACTCTTTCACCCCATTCCTTAAAACAAGTAACTTGAAAATGTTTTAAAGAAATGTCCACCTCAAGCAGTGGAAGGATTTGAGAGAACAGTAGAGCTTCTGCCAGCAGAGGGCGACCTTGGCTTGTTTTTACCGGTTTGTTTTTTGGGATATATACTTCTACTGGTGAACAGAAGTAATGTTTCTCAATACTTTCCTACAAAAACATTCCGTTGAAAATATTTTTTAGCGTTCATGTACATGTGGCTTAGCTTTGAAAGAATTCTTTTCAGCATCACTGAACAGGTATCTACATCAAATAGCTCAATTAGACACTCTGATTAAACGAAGTCATAGATGGAAGTCCTGGAGTGTTTTTTGCCCATTTTGTAGAAAGTGCAATTTTTTTTCCCCCCATGAAATTATAACTTCTGAAATCACTTAGCATCCTCAATGATGACAGTTAAACTCCCCAGAAACTTGAGGATAACACAAGAGCTTTTATTTTACTAGGGTGATTATGAGCCTTTAAGGAAAAAAGATTCTCTGAACATCTTTTTGTTGCATGCGTTATTACTTTAATTATAAACAGATTCCAATTCAAATGTTCTTTCTTGATTTAAATTATGGAAATATTTAAATAAATACAGTAGATGATGGTAGAAGAGATGTCAGTTGTCATTTTATTTTATTTATTTTTTAAAATATATCTTTATTGATTTCAGAGAGAGGAAAGGAGATGGAGAGAGAGACAGAAACATCAATGATGAGAGGGTCATTGATCAAGCCCACAACTGGGCATGTGCCCTGACCGGGAATCGAACCCTGATCACCCGGATCCCAGGTCGACGCTCAACCGCTGAGCCACGCCTGGCCGGGCTCAGTTGTCATTTTAAATAACTGCCTATTTTATAATAATGCTTTTTTGGTGTGTGTGTTTTTTTTGTTTTTTTTGTTTTTTAATATATCTTTATTGATTTCAGAGAGAGGAAAGGAGAGGGAGAGATAGAAACATCAATGATGAGAGAGTCACTGATCGAGCCCACAATCCGGGCATGTGCCTTGACCAGGAATCGAACCCTGATCGCCTGGATCCTAGGTCGACGCTCAACCGCTGAGCCACGCCCGGCCGGGCATAATAATGCTTTTTGGAAACAAATCTTAAGAATTAGAATTCTAGATGATTCCCAAATAGCTACTAACATTAAGTTTTCATTTGCATCTAATAAAGATAGGCAGTAATGCCAAACTATAGTGTATTTTTCTCTTTCTATTTTCATTTCCCAATAAAGGTCATTATTATTTTTTTATTGATTTCAGAGAGAGGAAGGGAGAGGAAGAGAAATAGGAACATCAATGATGAGAGAGAGTCTTTGATTGGCTGCCTCCTACCTACTGGGGATCGAACCCACAATCCAGGCATGTGCCCTGACTAGAAATTGAACCATGATCTCCTGGTTCATGGGTCGATGCTCAACTACTGAGCCACGTCTGCTGGGCTATTATTATTTTTAATCCTCACTGGAGGATATGTTTTCATTGATTTTAGAGAGGAGGGGAGAGTGTGAGAGAGAGAAACATTGATTGGTTGCCTCCCGTACAAACACCCTGACCAGGAACTGAACCCGAAAACTTTTGGTGTATGGGATGACACTCCAACCAACTGAGCCACCTGATCAGGGCAATAAAGATTATTTTAAGTAAATTTCCAATCATAAACTTGAGATGAATTTAATTATCCTAACTGAATGTATCTGCAAGCCTTTTTCAAATTTAGAATTTTCATGACTAGTGTAGCTTTTTCATTCCTCCCCATTTTGACAGTACATCCTGATCCAGAGATTCTGAGACTTAGCTACATATTTCTAAGTTAGTAATCTTTTTTACAAAACTTGTCAAAGTTTAATGATATAATTAGATGTTAGCAGAAGATGTATGATACAAATTCAAAGAAAAAATTGTGATTTATAAAAATTTTTTATAGAAATTTTAATGTCTCAAGTTAGTCAAGTTAACAGTATACCAAAATGTTATCAAAATGAAGTATTTAGTTCTAATGTGACCAGGGAATATAACAATTGCTGACACCACAGGCTTGGCATGGGGGGGCCTTGATTTAACATCTAGCCAATGATAAGAATTGTAGACCTTTCCCGAGCAGTGTGCACACCCAGCCATGTGGAGCACTTTATGTGTCCCAGTGTCATGGCTAAAGCATGAGCCCTGAGGCCAGACTCTCTGGGTTTAAGTCCCAGTTCCATTGCTGAGCAGTTATGTGGCCTTGGTAAAGTTACTTAATCTCTCTGTACCTTTGTTGTCTCACTGGTAAAATAAGAGTAAGAAAACTACCTAGCTTACAGGATTGCTGTGATGATGAAATTAATGTTTATAAAGCAACTAGAAAAATACCTGGCACAGAATGTGTTATAGAAGGTATTTTCTAGTATTATTATATTATCTTATTTAATAGTTACTAGAACCTCTGGAGTAGGGCCAGCTCCATGGGTGTGCAACCTGTGCAGTCTCACAGGGCCTCATGCAAAGAAGGGCCTCATGCTTGGTTTAATTCTCTGCTAATTTTATCTTGAAATTCTTAATAACTTTTGAACAAGGGGCCCTATGCCTACATTTTGCATTGGGGGCCCTTGCACATTCCATTGCTGGTCCTTCTCTTGAGGTAAATAGGGTTATTGTCCCCATTCAGCCACGTTCTATGTGGCTTTGGACAAGCAGCATCCTCAGTGTTCTCACCTGTGAACTACAGGTGTAATAGGTTCTTGGGAGACAAGGTTTTTGGGAAAGTTAAATAGGGTATTGTATAAGCAGTGACTGGCATGTATGAGTTCTCAGAAATGGTATCTATTATTATTATTAACGTTTACCTTGATAAAATAAGTAGCCCAACATTTCTGTACTTCTAAAAATACATATTCTTGCTCACAATTACATGATACTTTTTAGTGCAGTTAACAGTTTATTGAAAGTACAGAAGAAAATCATAAAACTCATCTGGAAAAATTAAGATGGGTTTACGAGGTTGGAAGATCACATCTTGACTGTTACAGAAGGGACTTATTAAAATTTGAGGCTTCTGTAAATATTAAAACTGGAGAAATTATTTTTCCTATAAACCTAGACAAGAGAAGAATTCAGCTGACTTGAATTTGGGTAAGAATTGGTAAAACCCTTGAGAACATTTTCAAATAAATATATTATTAATAAAAGTATGCTCAAAAGAAAAATGCACTGAAGACTACACACACCCAAGAATTTATTCACAATGAACTGTACTAATTTCACAAGTGAATGAATGAGGTGTGACCGCTATACTATGAAGGCAAAGAGAAATGTAACTAAGAAGAAACTGCTGGACACCATAATTCCTTTGCAACCTCTCAAATTTAGGTTATAATTAATTTTGTTGCTAATAAGGTATTTCCTGCTTTAATATTTGTATTGTAGAAAGTAAAATATTTTTGTAGACTTTGATGACATGTATAACATTTTTTCAAATAAAATTTAAAAGTTGAAATAACATATTCTTTTATAATTTAGAACATAGGATAGAAATCACTCTCTAGAAATGGGTAAAATAAAGCTTCTAAAAAAATTAGAATACAGCATTTGTTTTGACCGAAAATATAATTAATGAAAAATTATTTTACCTCTATGAAATTAAGAATATAAGTTTTTTTCACAACGGTATTCTACTAAAAAAAAGCAACACCTGAGGATCCTCTTGAAATCACAAGATATATTCTGATATATAATTATGTGTATATATAATATGTCTTTATTGATTTCAGAGAGAGGAAGGGAGAGGGGGAGAGAGAGAGAAACATCAATGATGAGACAGTCCCTGATCAGCTGCCTCCTGCATGCCCCCGACTGAGGATCGAGCCCGAAACCTGGGCATGTGCCCTAACCTGGAATCAAACTGTGACCTCCTGGTTCATGGGTCAACGCTCAACCACTAAGCCAGGCTGGTCAGGCCGTGATATATTTTTATATCCACCCTCCAAATTTTAATTTGTTAGGTAAGTATACTCTGGAAAGATAATCTGATGATAGAAAGTTCAAAGCTTGAATTTCTGCCTTCATTTTAGAGTCTGCCATTATTTCCATCTGTCAATAAAAGTAAAATTTAGTCATACCAGAGTCCTCTGCTACAGTTCTGTCAACAATTTAGTAAATCTAGACTTGTTTTATTCTCCAGAACCATGGGCAATAGTCTTTAGGTTCAGCCAGAACATTCTAGAGCTGCAACAGCTAAGAATATCAGGGGACTACCCAGTTTGGATGCCTTTCAATAACCAGGAATAGTCTGGGGTCTTTATAATTACTTTCTCTTCTTTTTCCCATCATAAACTATGATACAGCCCTAGACAATGGGTATATAACTATGAGGATAAAAACAGACCAGCTCCACCCAGGTAATCTTATCTATTAGTATCCATGATTCAATGTGTCAGCAACCATGTACTACCAAACAACACCCACCTTAGTTGTTGGTTACATAAAATTTCAAGGAGGATGTTTTTAAAATATTACGTGAATAGCTGCTATTAAAGTAAAAGGCAATCAAATATATAACACTTGAATTTAAAAAAACACCATACTTCTTTTCTCCAAAATGGTTGGCAAGTAACATAAGGTCTCTTCAGGATACTGTCAAGTTTCATTTGGTCCCGTTTTGTCAGTGGAATTAAAGTATCTTTAGGTATATTTAACCTGGAAAAAAATAGATGAAAAAAAATTAGTAAAAACAGTGTTCCTATAACTTGAAGGTCACATATGTTTCATTCATATTTATTGTACTATTCAAAGAAACTCAGAAGTCACAGATAAGAAAATTAGTATAGATCCACCTTTTAATTCCAGAATTTTGGGGACCTGGCATGTCATAGACCAACAAGTGATCAAGTTGCTAGTGGAAGCCTATTATAAGTTGTTGGTTTTCTTCACGTCATACTCATAGGACGATGATAGGAAGACAGACATTGGTTATAAAACTAATGGTGATAGCACCAGTATCACATATACCCATACTAAGGCAGAGCCAGAGCTCCACAATCTTGAAGCAGCGAGGTCCAGTATGTGTAGCCACATTGAGATCCATCATGGGATTTTAGGTTCCATTGAGTACTTAATTCTTTGTATTCACTGAGAATTTTCTGGGCCATGGAAATTAGTCTATCACTTTTCACTTACACGCACATGTGTGCATGCACATACACACACACCTATCTAGTTCTAAATTTAAAAAAAGTAAAATGTAATTTTATCTTGGTATGTGTTTTAAAAATAGAACATAACATGAGAGGTCCAGGATTTATGGTGTGGGCTACTTTTTAAAATCACAAATTCTGGATTTCTCAGGAGATCTCCAGTTTCAGTCTTTTCCAATGTCCCTATAATTATGACCACTTGCCAGTGGCAGCTCCTGGATAGGGTGACAATTTGATTGAAAGGGGGGCCTAAAGGATTTCCCTTGAAGCCATGTTTGTGTAGCTACCACACTGTTGTTTTTATTTTTTGATTGTACATTTATCTGGAGTGGCTTTTGAGGGCACTAATGGAATTATGAGTCATAGTGAGAGTTTCTGCAAGCCCTACACCTTAATGCATATCAGATCATTTGTCCTGAATTTGTGTTAGAAATGGTATCCACACAACTACATCACCCCTAAGGAATCTGAACCATGAACATAACGCTAAACTGAACAAAAACTTTGATTCATCAGAAAGTAAATATCCAAAGATCAAAAACTAAATGTTTTTTCTTGTGCCATCGTCTTGTAAGAAGTGGCAATCACCCAAACCCTGTTCACATTCCATATTTAGGAAATAAGCACCCATTACCAAAGTTCCCTCACTGCTTAAATAACCCAATCACCACGTTAAAGTTCATTCTCACTGGCAATTGCAGCAATAATATTTTAAATATCCCATAGCAGAGGTGAATAAAAGTAATGTTCTGTGCTGATGCACAGGTGGGGTCTTACTCTCCAGGGAAAGCAAAATAATTAATCTATCCATAGGGCAGTGAAAGCCTGGACAGTGTGCACACCCTTTGACCCAGCCATCATGGGAATTCAGCCTACAGGACTAATTAAAGCTGCAGGCAAAGACTCACTTACAAGAGGGTCCATCAAAGTGCTATCAATTAGAACAGAGATTTGGAAGCCATCCAGATGTCTGACTTTGAGGGATTGGCTGAACAAACACTGGCACATCCAGAATTTGAACTAATATAAGACATTAAACTGAAGTTATAGAAGATAAATGTACTTATTGATATGAAAAAATGATCCCATCATGGTGTATGAGAACAGATTACAAAATTATATTAGAGTATGAGCCCATTTTTGTGAAAAGCTATGATTATGCACAGAAAATAATCCACAAGGGTAAAGCTGTTCATCTATAGGTGATTTTACCTTGTTATTTAATATTTTTCTATAATGAATGTATATATTAGACATGTCAAACTTTATGTAATGTTAAAATGAGATTTTTAAATGAAATTAAAATTTTAATTCTATGATAAAATTGATTTGTATGTCAAATGATGTTGTCAATAATGTCCACTTACCTAAATTCAATGTATTATACTTTCTAAGTATAGTAAATTTCAAAATATTTTAATGGTAAAGGTAAAAAAAAAAGTTTCCTAGCTAGACAAAAGTTCAATGAACTAAATTCATTTAGGTATTTTAGTAGTTGAAACAGAAACACTGATGAATTTAATTCATAGCTATGTAATCCTGAATCACAGTGAACAATGTAAATAAGTCGCATTAAGAGCTTTCCCTTGCAGTGACTTTTAGGCTTGTGACATATTACGATGACTCATTATTTTAAGTATCCCCATTCTACTAAACAGTCTAACCTTTTAATATCCGAAGGGAGGAGACCAAGCCATCTAATAGCTGGAACTGTGAGATTATGGGCTTCAAAAGACATAGACTAAAATAAAGAGCAAAAGCATATTAGGTAAAGCTAAATTGCAGAGAAATAGGACACTTGTTTCTGTAGCCGATTTTTTTTACTTATGAATAAGTCCTAAAGGCTTCATGCCCCCAGAGCCCACAGAAGAAAGTCACTGAGAGCTTTGCTAAGCTGGACTTTCAGTGAAGGTTTTCTTTTCATTTCCTTTTTAAAAAATCTTCATCTGAGGATATTTTTTCCATTGCATTTCAGAGAGAGTGGTAGGGGGAGAGACAGAAACATGGATGTGAAACAGACACATCAATTGGTTGCCTCGTGCACTCCCCCTGACTGGCTCCAGGGATGGAGCCTGCAACTCAGGTACATTCCCCTGGGTGGAATTGTACCCAGGACCCTTCAGCCTGTGGGCCAATGCTCTAACTACTGAGCAAAACCGGCAGGGCTTAAAGCGAAGGTTTTCAAATTGCTCTGCAGTACTTCTCGGTTGATTTTCTACAAAGTGAAACAACAAAGGGACCCCCTGACCTGCACTTATTACTGTAGTACTGTGATTCCATATCTCAACACCTTGCTCAACCATCATCCTTTTCATCTGCTCCAAACACAAGCATCAGGGACACTCAAGGAGCATACCAGTGGCTCCCAAATTTGACCATACGTCAGAACCACTTGGAGGAGCTACCCCTAGAGATTCATTAGGTCTGGAAAGGAACTGAGATTTGCATTTCTAACAAGTTCCCAGGTGACACTGATGCTCTGGTCCAGGACCATAGCATCTTGAGTGGTGAAACTGGTCCTCACGGTAGGAGAAAAGGGAATTGGCAAAGTCAGCATTCAAGGCTACACACAATGTTCAGAGTATATTTGGCAATCAGACAATGTTGTTACCCTGAGGCCCAAGGTTACTTCAGCAGCCAGGAGAGTGGAGGATATTAATGCCTCCTCCCCACAGCTAACCCCACTCTGTCATCTGTGGTCACACTTGTCATGCTAGAAGCTGGAATCACAGTCACAGAAACAGACTGGCCCTAGACTCGGACGGTAGCTTCCCTGGAAACTTTTGAGGGCTCTCCATTTACTAGGGGCTGATAAGTGAATGCAGAAATAACCCCAAAGAATTAAACTATCTCAATAGTGGAAAAAGAAAAATACTTTTCTATACTCACCATAGATCCATATTTATAAATGCACATTATTTCTATGCCTGTTAAAAAGAGTTAACTTTAAAATTAGATTTCTTGTATATTATAGGTCAGATAATTTGCACTCTTAAATTATGTCTAATAGCCGCAAATTTTATTTTTGCAGACATTACCAATGAAAAATTTATGGTTCGGTTTAATATGGCTAAAACAACAATAAATCACCTCAAATGATGATAGTCATTAACTTTATTCTAATAATCTATTCTTTTAAAATATTTATGGAAGTGTTCTAAGAGCAGAGAAACACAAAACTGCAGATATAATCTAATTAGGATTGTTTGAAATGTAAATGCTAAGTTACCATGCGGGTCAGCATCTACCAGGGTGAAGATGGGGATGTGAAATGTATCCCACAGCTTCTTGACCAAAAGCCTGGTGTTCAGATCAGGCACGCCCTTCCCCTAAAAGCAAGGGCGAAATTATGCATTTTAATTACAGTAGAATAAAACAGATAAGACAATATCCTTATCTTATTAATAATGTAAATGTTAGGTTCCCTCACCTTAAATTTCAGGTGGTGGAAGACTGGTGTTGACCGTGAAAAAGGCACAAAGTTGGCTCTGCCACTTCTTAGTAGCATGAACCTAAATGAGTCCCAAAACCTGTGCAGTTGAGGGCTCTGTAACACCTTACAAGGTTATTATAAGAATTAAATTATTTAGTAACCATAAGGCACTTAGAAGAGAACATGGTTAAAATTTAGGATTTAATAAACTTAAGTGGTGGAAAATACTATGAAGTCATTAAAACAATAATTATGTAGGAAAGTAACTTACTAAGCATCACAATACTGTTAAGAGAGAGAAGCAGAAAACCAAAGGGGACAGAGAAGGAAGCAAGTAGAGATTAAGAATGGGCTTCCCATTGGCAGCTTTGAGTTTGAAGTCCCTCTCTGCCAATCATTGCTGGGTGACACTGGGCCAGTTTCTTAGTCTCGTTAGGCTGTAGCTTTATTTATAACATCGGGGTAAATATGCCTGCCACATAGACTTATGGCACTATATCAAAGTGGTGCTGGGCTGTCTGAACTCGAGTCCTGATTTTGACCAGCCATAGCCTTGTGGTAAATACCTTCCTGCATCCCAGTGCCCTAATATTAAAATGGAGTGATGATAGTACCTACCTCATAAATTGGTTGAGAAACTTTACAAGTTGCTCTGTGACAAATAGCGATAGATGTGGACTCTATGTAAAGTGCTTAGCAGAGTTCCTGGTCCACCAGGATCACTCAGTAAATGGTAGAGTATTTTTATTTTTTCCTTTAGGAAAAGATAGCACAGGTATGTGGTGGAGGAGTCAAAGACTACCAAAGGGGAGCCAGTGAAAAATGACCCCTTCCTAGCTTGACCCCCATTCTCAGCTCCCCGCTTCAGAGGCAACCGGTGTTTCCTGGGAGTAATAGCAGCACTTATCAATGGACATCATGACAGCACCAATGTGTAGATAGGCAAGGACTAGAAGGCAGCTTGCACGAAGAAAGACAAAGTGGAAAAAGAGGATTGTGTGTGATTTTTCCCTCTTTAAATATATGTTCTACAACCACTGTTAGATCTTCTCTTCAACCCAGATGTGACAGAGAGCTGGGATTTACATACATCTATTAAGCAGTAGAACCAGATACAATTCAATCACCAAGGGCTGAACAGAGACCCTGTCTGCAAGAGATTGGCTTCCAGTCAGCCCAGCAAGTTGTGAAAGGGGAAGAGGATTGGGCCAAAGAGTGAGCTACAGAACACCCCTGCCAAGAGATCACTCCAGGGGTTCAAAGACAACCTCTATTGTTTATGAGGGCTTAGTCTGCATTCTACACATCCACTTCAACTAGGTGCCACTAGGACTCCCTGCTATCGTCTCATATTTCTAAAACTGCACTCAAAGTGTTTCTTTCTACGAAGAACTGAGCATTCCTGCCATCTGTCCTGTCACTGTCAACTGATACTGTGGGTCCCATACATCACACATCAGGGTCATTTTGACTCATTCCTTACATCTTGTGGTCACCAAGTCCTTTTGAATTGGCCTTGGAAATGTCCTTTGTTTCTGTCCTTTCTCCTTAACCGTTCCTCTTTCATCTTGATACCTAACAGCCTCCCCACAGGCTCCCTGACTTCAGAGCTCTCCCTCTCCATCTAACTGATGACACTGCCACACTGATCTTTGTGATTTCCTTTCTCACTAACCCCAAACCCTCTGTTAGTGCCTGATAGTTCCGCACTAAATCAGGATGCCTCCTTGGGTGTGGCCAGGCCTTCCAAGACTCCCTATAGCTGCCCAACATCCTGCTTCCTCTCCAGGGCAGCTCTCCTCACTGTTCCCACAAACACAGCTCAAAAACACTACAGTGATATTGTTGACCAAATAAGCCAGAATAATTTAAAGTAGATGAGCTTCTCTCCTTTATAATCCTAGGTTTTTATAAAGATCTATAAAAGTAAAAGAAAGCTGGGCAGAAGAGGGGAACCTGATCCATTCTGTTATTCTGTCATCATTCCACCTGCCCATACCCCAAGCTTCCTTTATTCCCACCTCTTTCTTTCCTACTCCAGCCCATGTCATCCATCATTTCAGTTTTATGAACTCCTCCCACATTACCCTGTAGTAAGAAGCTTATTACCCTTTGCTAACTGATGCCAGTAGTGCCCTGTGTGTTATCTAAATGTATTCTCCTGTGTTCTTTGCTGTTCTTTAAACACTTATGGTTTTTTAAAAAGCATGTTCCTTTTGTCCGGTCAGTGTGGCTCAGTGGACTGAGCATGGTCCCATGCACCAGGAGGTCACTAGTTCAATTCCAGGGCACATGCCCAGGTTTCAGGCTTGATCCCCAGTAGGGGCTGTACAGGAGGCAGCCAATCAATGTTTCTCTCATCAATGTTTCTATCTCTCTCTTCCTCTATCTCTAAAATCAATAAAAACATATATTTTTTTAAAAAGTAGGTTCCTTTGAATACAAAATATAACTATGTATCTAATATCTATATCTGTATTCATATCTATATCTATATCAAGAAAGAAACTGAGACTTTAAGGAATTTACACACACAATTGTGGGGATTGGAAAGTCTGAAATCCATGGGGCAGGCCAGCACTCTGAAAATTCAAGTAAAAGTCGATACTGCAGTCTTGAGACACAATTGTTTTTTCCTCAGGAAACCTCAGTCTTTGTTCTTGAGGCCTTCAACTGATTAGATAAGGCCCACCCAAAATTTGAAGAGTAATCTGCTTTATTCAAGTCTACTGATTGTAAATGTTAATCACATCTAAAAGCTATCTTCATAACAACATCTAGACTTGTGTTTGGCCAAAGAACTAGCTTAACCAAGTTGACACATCATAAACAGCTTTAGAGACTACCCTTAATTTTGTACACTTTGGTTTCTCATAGTGTCTAGGAAGAATGAGATGATGTATTAGGTAATAAGTAGAATGTCAAATTGTATGTGTATTTCTGATATTTTGGAGTTTGGTTTGCATCTGTGTGTCTGTGTGTTAAAGTCTGTGCCATATGCTCAACGTTATTGGTGTGTTCTTCTAACTTACATTTTCAAAACAAGTATATGCTGCCACAGCATTTCTCCTGCAAATGTCCAAAGAAATGTAATCTGTACATTTCAAACACTGCAGTTAAATATACCTCCAATGATAACGTTTAATAAAAGTTCACTTCAGATTCTGGAAAAAAAAAAAAAAAAAAAAAGCAGGTTCCTTTGGACTGACTTCATGAAATTATCTGGTATGCAAACCTGTGTGACAAAAACAAGGAGCAGCTCTTGTCCACTTAACCCTGCCCAAAGCTCTGCTGTTACCATACTATAGTCCAGACAAGTAGCGCCTGTGGGGATGGTATGAGGGTGACACCAGAAGCTTGTGTACCCTCCCTATGGTATTAGAAAATCACTGATATTTATGATTCAGGACCATCACCTTCATTTTAGTCAGAACTGAGGATGTTTAAACGCACACCTTGGAAATTTTGTTTTATGACTCCAAAGGATGCATCCTATTGATAAGAGAATGCTGTCCAAGCTGTACAGATGACATTACCAAAGTACTACATTAATCTTGGAATAGTACTAAAGGTGGATAATATACCGTAACCATGATGCTTGGAGACATTTTGTTGCAAAAGTTGTCATCTAGCAGTCGCTGAAATGTGGCATCTTTTTCTACAATTAATAGAAATTTCGCATCGGTAATTAAATCTGTGAAGTTAAGGCAGACAAATTAAAGCAAGAATATTTTAACTACCAGCCAAATAATGGTGCCCTACAGATCCTTTCAAAAGCAGCTACAGATATAGTATTTTCATTTTTACCTGGAAATATGTAATGGATATCTCTGTTCATATATGTAGTTACCTGTCTCTCCTACTAAATAATGAACTCCTAAAAGAATCCTACAGAAGGGACTATGGAGTGTTCATCTTGACCACTATAGGGTCTAGCTTGTTGATTACACATCAGAAGGTTTGATTTATCAAAGTAATGAATGAATGAACATTTTAGAAGTTTAAATAGTTTTCCCATCCAAAGGATACTCTGAATTCCTTGAATATTAGATGGCACAGCAACAGCCTAAGTTAACAAAACAAGACAATTTTTATTTCAGATTAAAAGAAAGTATAATCGCATTTCAAAATTTATCACAAAAACTCTATATACTTGCATTAAAAAATATATACCTATCATCAGAGGTTTATGCCTCCGTAAGAAAATACACACACAACCCGAACTACTTCCTGGCAGATGAGAATTTCTTGGAAACTTTGCAGATATGTGGCTTAAAGAGCAGAAATGGATGAAGGAAAGACTTTGTCATGTAGGACCTCATAGGCATCAGCTTCCTTCTTTTCAAATTGGTGAGCTGGCCCTTTTCAAACTGCTGTGCTAGCTTTCTACTATGGGCCTTCTCTACACCAGAGCCGAGTATAACAGTTTAGGTTTATACGTTAATTTCAGAACCAGAAAACTATATGAAGATTACCTAAATAACCATGCTAAAAGGATCAAGCCACACTCTATCTGAAAACAACAGTACATTTTAAAAGGAAATGTGTACATTTATTTCAAAGACATTTAACAATGGCATATTTTAAAACTATGCCTATTCATATACCTATTCATCCTTCAGTTTTATTTTAAAATCTCAAGCTACAAACTACATAACAAGGGAATAAAATACATTTCTAAAACAAGGAATCTGAAAGGGAGTTAAAATATGTAAAAACATTAATGATACTTACTGTTGCACAGCTACAATTCACTTTGGTGCCATCTTCCTCAATATACCTTAAATTGCCAGCAAGTAAACCTTTTGATGTAGATAGCTAAAAAAAAGAAAAAAAAAAAGACATATTTGAAAATTTTTTCACAAGTATATCTTATGCTGCAAAGTCATTCTTCATGTACACCTGCTAAAATATGTTTTAAGTTCAGATTATATTTTAAGAGGTGAAAGAGAAAATATGTAAGAGTATTTAAAAATGAAAAGTATTTGTTAATTCATCTATTTTTGGGTTCATTCATCCAAGGGAAAATATTGAGAATAGATATTTAAATTTAGTGAGAAAAATATAGTATCAACATTTATCAAAAGGCGGCACAGATCCAATTGATTCTTCTATTACAATTTTTATACCAACATTTTGTCTTAAAATAAGACGTTTTGTATTAAGTGCTACTTACTATATGTAGACACCTCCTTGGCATCTTTAACATACAGGAAATGTCATTGATAATGTTGTCTACAACAGTCTGGTTACCAAAGAGTTGGCTGTCGGTGTAATATATGTCTCTATGAAAATATTAAAAATATATTTTTTAATTAACCATATTCTCTTTGAATATGACAAGTATTGGAGTATTATTTGAAGAAAGTTTTAACTGGATGAAACACACATGTAAACAAAGTAACCTATTACCTATAGTCTAGTTTGATGTAAATTTTCAAAACATATAATGAAAGTTAATCTAACTAAATCTCACATTTCATTTTAAAGAGTGATTTACCAGAATAATATATTTACCTTTTAGTTGCGTAAGTGTTGCTCTGCACTAATTTATAAATCATGGACAATATTTTAAGAATTAGAGCTGGAAAATAAGATGCAATAAACAAGTTACTCATCATTCCTCTAATTCAAAACATTTAACTGTCCCCACTTACTTTCCATAACATTACAGGAATTAATATTTCCCAAACAGAAGTGTTAAGTATAGAATATAATTGCCTCAAGAATCAGATAAAATTAATTGTTCAATGAACAGCAAAACTGAGAGAATGCTTTTCCATTGAATCATGTACCTTGAAAATTTATTTTGGAATTACAATTTACTTCCGTGGTTAATGACAATGCAAAATTCTATAAATTTATTTCAAGTACAAGGGTGGTCTGTTAAAAAACATGTAAAATTGCTTAATTGGGAACAATGAAAACCTGGAAGGTAACCAAATCAATTTAACCCTAAAAGCTAAGAAAGGTCAACTTACCAAAATTTTTAACTGATTTTGGTGAATCACTTTTGATTTTCCTTGTGGTACAGTGAGGTACCATGTGAAGACCCACAGACTCTTCAAACCTGTAATTTTGTTTAAAGTGAGGGAATAAAATAAAAAAGAATTCATTTCTGAATACCAAACAATACACACTTAATGGCCTCGTCCGCATATCATTTAAATCCATATTTCTTTGTAATGTAAGCACTAAAGCTTTAGGATAACCTCAGTTATAAGCTTAGATAATTCCAAGTGATAATTGGGTAATTAGTGTTGTGACATATAGAAGCACTAAAAAAAAGTGTTTAAAATAAATTGATTACAGACCTTTGATTATGTGTGTGAGTCTGTGTATTTCTTTCCTGGAAAGACATTTAGTGTATGTGAACTATTTTCAAATATTTCACAATTTTATTGGCATTTTGTGATTTTTAACAATTTACTCATTTAATAACTTTACTCGATTTAGTAAGTTGTGAAACATTTAATTTCTAATTTACCTCCAAAGTTACATTAAATAGAATCATTTATATTGCTGTTAAATTGAACTACCAAGCCTGTCCTAAAGGGGGCAGAAGGCACCAGGTAAATAGGCCAGCTGTCAGCAGCTTTGAGATACTCATCTTGCAAAATATGATTCAAAAACTTCCTTTTTATATTAATTATACTGATCATAAAAGAACACTTAGTGATTCTGAGCCTCGAAATTGCTTTTATTCTGTTTTATAACTCTCACTGAGAACTATTTTTGTAGTGTTTTTCATTATTTAGTGGAAAGATTCTATAGGCTGAGGATCTCAGAAAAACAAACTATGTATCTAGGTGCCAAGATTTTGATAAAGCTGTTCGCTGATTTTACCCTCTTGGACACATGACTTAGCAGGGGAAGCTCTGTTGGGAGAAAGAACCTTTGAAAGGTGCTCTATGTTCGGGACACATTTATTTTGGTCTTGGTATCAGGCTGGTTGTAGGTCCCCTGGACAAGTAGTTTGCTTTCTCAGTATAGATGACAATTTCCCCCCTTGAGTGCTAGAAAGCTTAGATCTAACTTTGTAGCATATTTTTAGCAGCACTGTAAGGCCTTATCACATGCATTTTGAATTCAAATCTCTTTCAGAGCTCCATTCTTTCTTCCTAGCATTCTTTTCCTTTTGCCTTATCTTTCACGCCTACTTCTAGTTTATATAACCTAGTATTTGCAAACTTCCTTAAATCTGTTTGACAGGGTAAAAGCAATAAAAGATGAAATCAGGCTAGAACTCTAACTTGAATAAATTCAAATTATGACATAGATACTGTACTTAAAATTTTTTAAATGCCCACTTTATATTTTCCCAGCTTGATCTTTTGTCTACTGTGAATGCAGGTGCTTCGTTTCTTGCCAAGCTTGTGATTATGTCTTGAATAATATTTTCTATAGATGCAAGAACCTCAGAACTGAAACAATAAACATACTGTGATTCCATCTCATTTCTAAATTAGGTCTTTACAATATGTAACATTTCCCCAGATCAACACTGAAATAACTTTTTGTTTCATTGGTTGTTTTTTAAGACTAGGTAATTCATGTCACTAATGATATCTCACTAAATTCTGACATCAGTACTGCATTAAAACAACGGTATTTATAGTGGTTACTTACGAGAAATTTCATTTGCTTGTAATTTTACTTTTCAAACAATTACCCATTGAAGTAATATCTCCCTTTTAGATTAATGACTAGACAATACAATTTACAATATATTTTAACCTACTTTTCATATTAACCTACTTGAATACAAACTCATTGGCTTGAAATACTGTTTCAATTAAAAATGATGTCAGACTGGCTTTGAATTTAATTTCTTTCCCAAAACTGCTTTGCAAAAGTGTTTCAAAAGAAATACTTTTTTTGTCCTCGCTGGTTTTGCTCAGTGGTTAGAGCATCAGTCCGTGTACTGAAGGGTCCTGGGTTCAATTCCGGCCAAAGGCATGTGCCCTCAGTTGCAGGCTCGATCCCTGGCCCAGGTTGTCCCTGGCCCAGGTTGGGGCACATGCAGGAGGCAACCAATCAATGTGTCTCTTTCACATCCATATTTCTCTCTCTCTCCTTTCCATTCTCTCTGAAAAGCAATGGAAAAAATATCCTCGGGTGAGGGTTAAAAAAAAAACACGCTTCTTTTTGTAGCATATTTCTCTAATTGATCTCATGCTTTAAATCAGCCCTTTTGAATTTTAGTGATACAAAAAAAAAAGTTTTAATCACTACCATGAAAAGACTTGGCAACTATTACGCCACTTTACAGCAAACTATTAAGACTTAACCCAGTTTTCTGTCAGCTGACTTTTAATTTCACACGCCATCAGCTTCAAAAAATGCTGTTCAGTTATAAACACCGTTAGCACATTGCCTAGGATGGAAAATCAAATCTAGCCAATGGGCAATATGTAGATTCTTCTAATTTCCACAGGAACTTGCTTTCTTTGGAAACACATGCATCAGAGAATAAATTTTAAAACATTTAATATTTTCTAATAGTGACAGGTAAAAACTGACTCGAATATCTCATTCATTTTTTTTCCAGTTTGAAAAAAAAGTTTCAGGACAATACTGTGATCAGCTCTGAGGTACAGTCAGGTTCATTTACGTCTGAAATGTAAACAAGGGGCTTCCACCCCATTTTCCCCTCATCCTCATAAATTCTCCCTCACATTAAATCCTTATGTAAAAATTTGTTTGTTTGCGGGTCTTTCTTTTTTTTTTGAGAGTTGGTTTGGCTTAAAAATAAAAAACAGACATTTGCTTAGGCTGAAAAACTTTGTGATAAACCAGAAAAGCAGATCAAGGAAACAAAACAACAGAGCATTTGAAGTAAAAGTTGGCAATAACAAACATATTTTCTGTAGTTATTTCCAAGTTGGGTAGCTGCAGAATCGCTGTAATTGATTTTATCAGCACCACACTGTGAACTTTATTGATATTAAAGAAATCATTTAAAATATACACTGTCTTCACTTCCAAGTGAAGGAAACTTTTGTTATAAACCACTTAAAATGTGTTGACTTCTTTGTTCATTTTGATAAAACACAATTGAGTGAGAACTCACAACATTCATTTTCTCTTAAAAAATAAATCCCGAAAACTCAAATTAAAATTTTTATCCAAAAAAATTTGTTTTGTTTTTCTTAACTGTTTTTCCAAATTCTCTGCCCGTAAGGATCTCAGGAAACCTGCGAGCCCAGCTTTGGGGATCCTCACAGAACATTCTAGACGCGGAACATTCTAGAAGGTGGGGGCTGGGTGGGAAACGTCACTAGGTTTTTTGCAGTTAAGAATATGAATTAAAAGCATTAGAGAGAATGGGCGCTGAGGAGGGCGCTGAGGAAGGCGCCTTCGGGGTTCACGGCTGGCCAGCCAAGGGGTTCCTGCCGGTGGTCTCCACACCGGGGAGGCCGCCTTTGGCCTCTAAACGGTAAAGGCCAGAAGATACAACCGGACATGTCCCCACAGAGCACCTCCTGCCCCCCGCCGGGTCATGGAACATTCTCCCTTTCCCCCTCCGCACCCAGGAGCCCGGGAGGCGCCCTTATACCTGGAGGCCAGGTGCGTCCCCCCACCCACAGGCTCCCCGTCGCCTCTCCTCAGGGCAGCCAGCAGGGAAGCCCTGTGTTGGTCCAAAACCTGGAAGAACGAGGCCTCAGGCCCCATAGGCGCAAAGGCCATGAAGACAGGCGGCGATGAAAAGCGCCCGGCTTAGGAATCCCACTTGCCCCCGAACCGCTCTTCCCCGCGTTCGTTCGCAGTTCGAAGCGCTCGCGGATCAGGCTTTTCCCGCGCTTCCGGGACGAGGCGTCCTGCGCATGCGCACCCTCACCCCACCCAGGCGGGGCTGCGCAGCCGCATGCGCATAGCACCGCCCTTGGAGCGGCCTGCGCACGCACCCGCAGGGCGCCGGCGGAAACCCCTGGAGACCTGTGTTGAGGTCGTCGTGCAGCGCGGTGTGGCCGTCAACGGGACCAGCGGGCATATGCTTGGGGTGCTGACACTGGATCTCACTGAAATGGTTTCATGTTGTTTTGTTGTTATTGGCGGTTTAGGGAAAGTAGTACCGGAGATTTGTCATTGGCACAAATAGTTATGGCGACTGGGCTGTGCGCTCAGCGAGCCCGCCCCTGCCCCTGCCGACGCTGAGGCGGGTCCGGGGTTGGCGGCGCGCTCGGCCCCCCTCTGTTAGGTCTCCGGCCGCCCCGCAGGTTCCTTGCGGGCTCGTCACAGTTTTGCGCGTGAGAGGAAAGTGAGGCCCCCAGGTTCAGGCAGGCCTGGGTGAACATTTAGCAAATTAAAATGCAGGACACTCCGTGAATTTCAAATTTCAGGTTAATACCTAATACCTTTCTCTCTCTCTCTCTCTTTTTTTTTTTTTAGGGCAGCAAGATCCCATGCAATCTCCGGAACATACTTTTACGAAAGGCGTGTTGTTCTGAAATTCGAATTTAGCTGACGTCAGGTATTTTAGCAATGCTGCCACCGGACCCTGGCGGGCTGGGTGCGCCCTGGCGTCCGCCAGCCTCCTGGAGCAGAGGAGAGGGAGTTTGAAGCCCCAGGGAAAGAGCCCTGAGTCTGGGGGGCGATGTCCTTGAGGGAGGAAGGTAGGGCAGACCCTGGAGCAGCTTGGCTCCCAGGCTTGTGGGGCCTGGTCCTGCCTGGTGGGGGTTGGGGACTTTGCCCCAGAAAAGCCACCTGACAGCAAAAACTATTTTGTTACCACAGCTCCTGGTTATTGGATAGTTTTGAAATAAAACCTGCTTTCCCATCATCAGTGATAGTGGGCATCCTCTGTTCACAATGATGGCTGCCTGCCGGTGCCAAGCACTGGGCGGACCGCCTTCATTGCTGTTATCACAGGTACTTGCTCACCATTGACCCTGTCCGAGGAAGTGTAAGGTACTGAGGACACAGCTGTGAGAAAGGCAGGAGGAGGGAGGGGGGAGCTGAGATTAGTAGGCGAACGCGGGAATAAGTGGCAGGATCAGAAGTGGATTTAAAGGAACAACCCTAAGCAGTATAAATTTTTATCCCCATTTCACAGATGAAGAAACTGGGGCTTGGAGAGGTTGAGTCCTTTGTGCAAGATTGTACCACAGTAAGTGATGGAGCCAAGAGGCAAACCTTGACTCCAAATTTGAGCTCTTACTACTAGGATGTGGGGCGCTGCTGATGGTCTGGCTGGGAACATGTCATAATTCTGGGGGGTGTCTTTTGTGATGGGATTATGCCTCTGGCCTCAGTTTTCTCATCTTTCACATTTGCAACAGGTGGGCTCTCCTTTATTATCATCAGCAAGGAACAAATAAAGGCCTTTGAAGAGAGAGGCCAAGTCAGTGGCATCCATAAGACTTGTTCGCTGGGAGGTGCCTCTCTTCTGGGACCAGAACCATTCATCCACTTGTCTCTGTCTCTTATGAGGACAGACGCTTCTGTAGCACATGGCACTACACTCAGCCAAGAGCCAGTGGCCTCACTAGATCTGACGTGAAATGAGAGGTCCTGAGCTGGGTGGGGATACAGGGAAGGGATCAAAACAGTGAAGGGAATAAACGCATCATAAACCTGGCATTCCTGCAGGAGAAACCTGTGGCTCTGCCTCCAGGTATCCAGCCCCACTCAGGTAACTTTACATACAATGTGTGCATCACCTCCGCATCAAAGTCAGCCGCAGCCCAGGGCTGAGAGGAAACTAGAAAAACATATTCTGCCCCTAGCAACAGATTGCAGATGAACCTGGTAGATGCTAACTTGCAGGGCAGTCCTTGCACGATACTGAGCTCTTTCTTCCTGTAGGCCAGCTGTGCTTGGCACAGAGATGGTGCTCAAGTTGCAGTCAGTTAGGAAAATGAAAAGCTTTTCCCCCACCCTCACTTCTTACTCAACCTGGTGTCCTATAACTTGTCTGAGGGCCAGAGCAGGTTGGAAAGAGCATCAGTTAAATTAGTCATAATTCTTGTATCCAGGTCTAACTCACCAAAAAAGGGAAAGGAGGTAGGAAAGGAAGGATGGGGAGCCCTTGCAGCTCCAGACAGGAGAGGATGTCATGCTTGTTACATTTAAACAAGGTGGTTTTCTTAGCAAACGTAAGTGAACTTTAACATAGATGCTTGAGAGAAAATGCCACAATACTTTCTTTTCTTCTTGAGGCTTTATGAGGTATTTTTCTTTGGTGGGTTTTGTTTTTTTGTTTTTTGTTTTTTTTTAGCTTTTAAAAAAGTTATAAGAATGATGCGTGCTTTTCATGAAATACTTACAGAATTCAGAAGGCATGAAGTAAAAGTGAAAGACACCCCCCCCCC